TTCTCAGTAGCACAAGGGATTTTCTTCAAAATAAATCATATACTAGCTCATGAAACATGCTTAAGTACATGAAAAGAAATGAAATTATCCTATGCATATTATCATAGCATAATATAATGAAATTGAAAATCAATGGCAAAATAAATCATAAAAAATTCATAAACAAAAAATTAAATAACACCCTCCTTAACAATGAATAGGTCACAAATTAAACTAAATAAGAAATTACATAGTTTCTACAATCAAAAGAGAATACCAATGCAACTGGAATTTATGGGATGCAATGAAAGTAGTCCTGTGAAGAAAATATATAGCAGTGAATTCCTAAATCAGAAAAACAGAGTAAGCCAAATCCATAATGTAATTTTGAACTTCAAACTTCTAGAAACAGAAGAGTAAGTTAAACCCAATGCACATAAGAGGAAGGAATTATAAACATTATATCAGAAATAAATGCAATTGAAACTAAGAAAATAATACTAAAAATGAATCAAAGAGTTAATTCTTCGAAAAATTAAATAAATTAGACAAATCCTTAGCCACCCTTATTAAAAAAGGAAACAAAAGACTCAAATAAATCCATGCAATTAGGAATGAAAAGGGCAAAATCACAGCAGACCCTGTGGAAACCAAAATCATCAATACCTACTTTGAGGCCCTATATACATATTTTTTTTTATTTTTAGTGTCCCTATATTCTAGTAAGAGGGAAAACTCAGAATAAATGAATTACCAAAGCTGAATCAAAAAGATATAAAAAAATCTAAATAACCTAATATTAGTCAATAAATTTTAAGTAATTAAAAACCTACCAATAAAGAAAAGCCTAGATCTCAATGGATTCACTGCTGAAATTTAGAGATGATCTAATGTCATTACTTCTCAAACTCTAATGAAATTGAAAGGGGAGCGGTACTACTAAAGGCAATCCTGGAAGCGATCATTACTGTTATTCCAAAACTAGAGAAGAATCCAACCAAAAAACAAAACTATAGGTAAATCTCTTTAATTAACATAGATGCAAAAATTCTTAATTAGATACTGGGAAACAAAATGCTGCCAATCAAGAAAGTTATCCATCATGACCATGTAGGATTCTTACCAGGGATGCAGAGATGGTTTAACATATGCAAATTAATAGATATAATGGACCACATTAACAGAACCAAGAACAAAAAACTACCTGATTATCTCGAGATGTAGAAAAAGCATTTGACAAAGTTCAAAACCCATATATAATAAAAACTTTTTAGAAAACAGAAATAGGTCTTTATCTCAATCATATAAAAGACATCCATGACAAACGAACAACCAACATCACACTAAATGGTCAGAAAGTCAAATATAACCCTCTAAAATTAGGAACAAGACAAGGATGCCTTACTATCATCGCACCTACTAAATATAGTTCTAGAAACAGCTAGAGCAATTAAGAAATTAAAGAGACATGAATAAGAAAGGAAAAAGTTAAAGTACCATTGTTTGCAGATGACATGATACTCTACATAAAAGACCACAAAAATTTCACCAAAAGATTCCTGGGATTAATAACCAAATTCAACATTATAGCAGGATACAAAAATAACCACCCCAAAATTAATATCTGTACAAAATAACAAACTGAGTAAGATTTTGGCAAAATTACATTCACAAAAGGAAATTAAGTACTTAGGAAACAATTTAAAAGAGGAAGTGAAATAATTAAACATTGAAAGCTACAATAATCTGAAAATGGAGATCAAATAGGAAAACAGAATTTTAAAGATATTCCCTGTTTTTAAAAAAAACTTTCCTTATTCTTTTCTACAGTTGATAAATATTTTATTGTATGGTTAATTAATTTATTTTAATTTTTTGTGGTACTGGGGACCAAATTCAGGACATTGCACTTGCAAGGCATGTGCAGTGCCACTAAACTAAATCCCAGGTACTTCCCTGTTCTTGAAGAGGCAGAAAAAATGTAGCGAAAATGGTCAAACCTCCAAAACTTTTACTACTTCCATTATATATTTCATCTCTAACTCTTCTGAGTATTTCTTTGAGTTGTTTCCTTTGATATGATTTTGAGTAATTCAGATATATGGTTTATGTTTGTATGTGCCTTGATCCTCTTGGATTATTTTTAGGGGAATTGGGGGTTTGGGAAAGTGTTTTGTTGCTTTTTCTTCCCATGTTTCTATGGCTTTGTTTGTTTGTTTTCTTTTGTGCTGTGGTTTGTGGATGCTTATAGTCTAAAGCCTTTCTTGTTAGTATAGTGATCTCTTTAGTTGCTTTTTAGTGTTGTGCTTTGGGCATAGCTAACTCTAATTCTTTGCCACAGCCCCAAGATTAAACTACCTTGCTTATTTTGGGAAGGGAGTATGCAGTGTAGTTAGTTCAGCAACCAAGTTCCTTTGGAATGTACTATATTTTTGTCAATGTCACAAAAGGCAATCTGAGTGTTGTCTTACAGAGAAATATTGACAATTATATCACACTGTTAATATCATGTGAAACAGCCATAGTAGTATTGCTTGAGAAAATTAGATATTAACATACAATAAGAAACAAATATCTACCACCTTTATTCCTAGATAAGAAAGAATCAATTAAGATGTAAACATTCAGGCAACACAGGTATTATCTTACAGTTAATATGTAATAAATATAACAGCTTTACCACTGTTAATAGTAGGAAAGAATTCAACAGTAAATATACAGAGTTAGCTATCAAATATTAACAAAACTTTATAGTTACATTCTTAAAGGTCCAGGGTTTGGGAATGGGGGGCATGCAAAAAAAAAAAAAAGCTTTGACACCTTAAACTTGATGATATAAGGAGGAAAGTGCAGTGGTACAAAGGATCTTATTGGAGGAAGAGAAGGATATTTCTAGAATTGTGGTAAAGATAGTATAAAAAACTGGCATGAAAGAGAATACACAAAAAAAGAGGGAGAAAAGGGGAAAAATACAGACTAAAAACAAGAGGGAAGTAATTAAGGGTAGAAAATTTGAAAAGAAGAAGAGGAGAAATGTATAAATGAAAGAAGAAAAAGAGATTAGAAGCAAAGCTGAAGTACAAAGGAAGATTAACCAAGTCTCAGGAAACTGGTGAAGAGAAGTGAAGAAAATTTTTTAAAAAAGAGAGAGAGAACAAAAAAATCTATGCTCATACACAAAATGAAAAAACAATAAAAGGCAAACAAATAAAAATTAAAAAATTCAAAGGAAAAGATATTTCTCCATGATTTCAAGCGTGGGGCTATCTTTTGGGGTCTAAAGTTGTGTGCCAGTTTGCAGTTCTAGTGTGACTCTCCTCTTGCTGATAAAGAAAGAAGGCAGTCAGAGCCAAGATACATGCAGGGTAATTATCAGCAAGCTGGCAGTGGGATTGGGGTGGGATGCTGGTTCTAGAACTTTCAAATCTACAGATATTCAGGGTAAATCTGGCATTTGGTTATGGGGATGGGGCCTGAGTCATTTAGCTTACAGTAATACCTTGGTTCATGACTGTGTCTCTTTGCAAACAATTTTGGTTGCTTACAGAAGCATTTGGCAAAACTTTGCTTTAATTCACTATCTCTGCATCAGGTTATGAACATGACAACAGCTATCTTCCCTGCATTAACATGAAAATGAACATCTTACCCTCTTTGACATGTGTTGTTGCTTCCCCTAGTTGAGATTATAGTCACAGACCTGTGCACACTTGTTGTGAAGTTTGTTTATGGAATTTTTAGCATATACAGTACTTTAGAGTATTACTCAATGCAGTATGACTCCAAAGAAAGTGCAGAGCAAGCATGGCAGTACAAATAAAGTGCAGAATGGTAATGGAAGTAACCAGAATATGAAGAGTGATAATGAAGGAAACAAGAAAGCAGAGAGCAAGAAGTGTAGGAAGAATGTTTTGAAGAAATTAACCATTGAATTGAAGAAGGAAATTGTAGAAAAGCATGAGCATAGTATTCATGCTTTGGAGTAAAAGGATGGTCAAATCAACAATCTTCTACTATTTTAAGAATTAAGATGCTATCAAAGGAGCTGGTATAGCAAAAGAAGTAATGATGTTAAGTAAGCATAAAACACAAGTCCCGGAAGAGATGGAAAAACTAAGTGTGCTTAAGTGAGAAACAGTTGGCAGATGGAAGCGTCAATGAAGCTATGATCTGTGAAAAAGCCAGGCAATTGCAGTGATTTACTGCAAGGAAACCCCTGTGCAAGTGCAACAAGTGATGAATTTTTAAAGCCAGTAAATGGTGGTTTGATAAATTCCATAGCATGATAAGGCATGGTAAAGCTTCCAGTTCTGACAAGTCTGCTGCAGAAGCCTACAAAAAAGAATTAATTATATTTATGAAGATGAAGAATATATTACTCTACAAATAAGTGTTCAGCTGTGTTGAAATACAGCTCTTTTGGAAGCAGATGGGGAGCAGAACTTCTGTCCTGCAAGAGGAAAAGGTATTACTGGGGTACAAGCCCATGAAAGATAAATTGACCCTTCTGCTGTTGGTAAACACAAGCACTGATCTGATGATTAAATCACTACCAGTTGTATGATTCCCAGACCTTTTGGGCATTCAAAGTAAAGAATGCTAACAAGGCCAGAGTGCCCCTCATGAGGAGAGCCAATGTGAAAGCTTGGATCACAAGCCCAGTGATTGTTCACAGAATGGCTGCAGAAGGGATTCATATCCACCATCATTAAGAAATATCTTTCTAATAACATCTTTTTTAAAAAATTTTATTGAGTTTATTGGTACATTTTAGGGATACAGTACAGTTACATTCATTGTTGGGATCATGTACCTTTACATGGCAAGTCTTGATTCTCATTTTTCCCCTTACCTCTGCCCTCCCTTCACCCCCTCCTCCCCTCCCCATCTACAAACACTTTATTTTCATCTTTTCATGTCTGCCTTCTTCTGATGGACAGTGTCCCAGAACACCCCCTAGCCTTGATGGATGATATGGATGAGAGTATAATTTAATAAATGTCAAGTTCCTTCCCACCAACATGACACCTCTTCTTCAGCCCATGGACCAGCAAGTGATCTGCACCTTCAAGAAGCTGTGCTTAAAGGTGCTCTTCATCAGGTGTTTTAATGTCACTGAAGAGACATCTTGACTCTGAAAGAATTCTGGAAGAAACACTTTAATGTCCTCCACAGTATCAACCACACTGGCAAAGCCTGGAAAAGTGTCACATACTGAACCTTGATCTCATCCTGGAGAAAACTATGGCCAGAATGTGTTATTTAATGTGACTTTAAAGGACCTGACCCATAGGTAGTGGAGGAGACTATGTCCATGGGTGAAAGTAATCGTCTGGACATAGAGAAGCTTATTGAGGACCATAAGGAGGAGCTGGCACTGGCAGAACTTGCTGAACCCTTGAGTAAGCATCAAAAAGCACTTGTTGAACATCATTCCACTGAGGAAGAGGAAGACAGAAAGCAGGTTAGCAGTGATGTCATAAAGTCCATTGTGGAAAAATGAATGCCAGGATTTCCTTGAGAAACACTATTCCAACATGACTGTAATGAACACATTGTTGAATCTGATGAACCATAATGTGGTTTCTCATTTCCAGAGGGTTGCGCAGGCAAGAAAAACAAGTGACAGAGAGTTTTTTTTTGGGGGGTATTTTTGTCAAAATTGACCCTGTAGCTAAGAGACAAAGAAGACAGATAACCCCTTAAGGAGATCTTCCTAATGTCCTTATGGAGAGAGACACTTCCTTCAAACAATAATCTCCTTCCTATCCACCTTCCTGTCCTCCACACCAGAAATCGCCTCAAGCAAGGTTAGTGTTCTCTCTCTTAATACTGTATTGTGCTATAATTTCTTTTGTATTTTTGTGCTTAAAAGTCTACATGGTGCAGAACAAATTAATCTTATTTACATTGAACCTTATGGGAAAATTTGATTCAGTTAATGACCAAAATTGGTTTGTGTCCACATTAGTAAGAGTCAGAATAGATTAACCTCATTTACATTGAACCTTATGGGGAAATTTGATTGCATTTACAATCAATTCTGTTGGTGATCAGAATTGTGGAACAAATTAAGTTGGTGAGCTGAGATACCTCTGAATGACATTCTGGGTGTCTCTTGCCCTCCTGAGCATGACTTCCTGATCATGGGCCTCTGGCGGTTATCACCCAATTATGTTGGAGTTTAATACTGAGGTCCCTGAGATAAAGCCAACCCATAGCTGCTCTGAGTCCTAGGTTCATTTGTTCCCTCCCTAGAATGGTATCTGATGAAGCACTTTGCCTAAGGATATGGCACATGCTTACACTGGAGTCACTCACCAGTTGTCGCACACAGCTTCCAGTGCTCTGTTCCACTGCTGTGTTTCTCCCTGAAGGTCTCTGAAGATGCCACTTTCACTGTATCCCTGTAGATTCAGTTCTTCCTTTCTCACAAGCCAAGAGGTAGGAGCTGAGGAGAAAGCTCAAATTGCTCCTTCCTTTTTGTGTTGTCATTTCATCTGTCTCTTCAATTTCTTTGTAAGCATCAGTTTTCCTGTCAGATTGTTCCTAGATCCCAATGATCCTCCTCCCTCCTTCTTTTCTCCTCAAGTTGTATTGTCCAGTGTCTGGATTCCAAATCTTGGAGAAGCTAATTTGCTGCTACTTAATACCCTGCTATATTCCAAAAAGTCCTCTGTTAGTATTAATTGAATGGATGAATGATGTTTATTAAGCACCAACTCTCAGTCAAACATTATACTAAATACTTGAAACTATAGAGATACATAAAAAAGATTTTGTACTTTCCTGCACATGAAATAGAAACATATACAAATAATTCTATAATTATAAATGTTAAAATAAAATGGAAAAAAATAATAGTACATAGAAAAATAACTCAGAGAAGCAAAGAAGGGACATCAGTCTTGAATAGAAATGGATGTTTATCAAGCAAAGAAGGGTATATAATGGCACAGAAAAACATAAAATTTATCTGTAGGGGACCATGTAGGCTATGTAGTGGAAGCAAATGAGACTAGAACAAGTTAAATAAAATGTTTGCAGTTCTTGGATTCTTGGTTAAGATTTTTTAAATTAAAATCAAAACTGCAACATAAAAACCATTGCCAATCAGAGCTGTGCATCTGAGGAATAGTAAATGTAACTTAAAGGTAGCATGTGGAAAGCCCTAAGTTTGCTCCCCAGCTCGGCAAAAGCAACAAAAAGCCATATACACACAACTATATTCATATGCCACCCCAATCAGAATGATTATCATCAAGAATATTAGAAAAGAAATACTGATGAGAATATGGAGGTGGGGGAAGGAGTCCTTCTACACTGTCGGCCAGAATGTAAACTAGTACTAGTACAGCCATCATACTACTCTGCCCTGAAGGAATCCAAGTCAGCATTCTATGGAGGTACTGCATATCCATGTTTACTGCAGCTCAGCTCATGATAGCTGAGTATTATGGAACCGAATATGGTGCCTAGCAACAGGTAAATGGATAAATAAAATGTAATATAAACAATGGATTATTACTCAGCCATAAAAAGAACAAAATGATGTCATTTGCAGGAAAATGGATGGAATTAGAGATCTTCATATTAAGCCAACTAAACCAGACTTAGACAAATTTCAAACTCTTTTTCTCATCTGTAGAATCTAGAAAAAAGTGACAATATGAAAGGAGAGGGTACATTATTAAACAAGAGGAAGATCAGGAGGAAGGGTTAGGGGAGGGTAAAAGAGTACCATACAAGGGGATGGTTATGATCAAAATATGTTGTGTGAATGTATAAAAATGTTACAATGAAAGCCATTACTCTGTATAATTAATATAAACTAATAAAAAGGGGAAATGAATTTTATTTCTTACAGAAGCTATAACAAGACTCTGCTGATGTACTAAGTCATCAAGCATATCATTGTATCTTCTCACATTGTTCTCTAGTTATGCATTGAATGAAACACTGGAAAATTCTGCCGTTTAACCTGAACTTTACATAGAGTGATAAGTTTCTTAGGCAGCAGTTCAAGAAAATGTTTGCCTTAACTTTATGTCAGGAATTCTTGTTTATAAAATAAAACCAATGGAAAGCAAATCTCTTAGGTTTTTTTTTGTTTTTGAGCCACAAGAATGAACATTCTCTTTATGATATTTATTTTTGCAAGTAGTTCACTAGATACATAATTACATCTCTTTCCTTAAATTTTAGTACCAGTCAGTATTATACCATATCCAAAATATTTGTTCTTCTGTGGCCTTGAATTGTGTATGAGTAATATTTGAATCTATAAGGAAAAAGCAAGCTGCCCATGGGAACTGCTCTTAAATACCTGAAATCATGGGGGTTTTCCTAGCTTGTGTTATAATTAGAGTCAAATAAAATTGAGCTATGGGTTCAATTCTTGTTCCTCTTGAAATCCCTAATGCTACTGCTGATCAGAACATTAATATTGTGATACTGAGAGAAAAAGGAATATTTACTAAATGTTCTTTCTCTTTCTTGGGACTAGGGATACAACCCTGAGCTTTGTGGATGCTGAGCAAGTATTCTACCACTGAGCTATACTCCCCACTTACCCTCTCGATTGCAGAAATAGATTACATGAAACTCTTCTTCAGGGCCAGAAAAAAAATCAGTTATAGCTTCAAGAGCAATACATTTGTGAGGCACTTTCATTTCTTCTTCTGGATGACAAAACAAATGCAGAGAGGCTAAGTAACTACTTTAAAATCACACAGTCAACTAATAGTGATTCGAGCCCTTGTCAAGATCTTTTGAAGCAATAATTTACAAAAATTATAATTCACCAGTATCCCAGAATTTACAAATATATTTTACAAGAACACTAGAAAATAATATAGCTAATGTAGAACACCTTAGTAAAATTTTCCTACTAGAATGACACTTTTCTGTGTTGCAATTTTGAAGGCAGATGTTGCTGAAAGCAACCAGAGCCATTACTAAAATAACAAAATCAATTTTGCCATCAAATTCATTCGCACACAAGAAAAGCAGTATTTTTCTTGTACAGGATCAATCACTGCACATAAGAATGTCTTATGAAATTTACAAAATCATGAAAATACAAAAAATGTGCATGTTTAATTGTATGAAAGTCAAGTAGACAAGAATGTCTATTTAAATCCAAGCATTGATAGTGGTCATCAGAGGTGATCTAGGTAATCAAAACTTTAAAATGAATGTCCCGATTACTTCAAGTTGGGAATTAGCCTGTGTGATCTGTGTGACAGCTTTGACAGGTAGTAGCAGAGAAGTTCCAATAAAAGACACAAAGCTGCATAATAATGTTACTGGAAGCAACAGATAAAATCAAGATTTATTACAATTTGAACTTATGGTTACCAAAGACAGCTCTATTCTGCAGATATTTAGGAATAGGGAAAATAATTTTCCCTGACATTAACAGAAGTTATGAGTAGATGTAAGTTATGATACTTAAATTTATGAGACCTAAGCTAAATAGAAGCACTGATTATGTGTTCCTACTAGAATCAAAAACTTATTTTGCTCTTCTAATTCCCAGGAAATGAAAAATATAATTTTTTCCACTTCCCAAATTCCTTCTCCTACACCTTTTCTTGGAGACCATCTATCGTTACCCCAGTGACAAGAAAATTAATTTATCCCAAAAGTGAAGAGAAAGTAATATAATGACTTCAAAACATACCAGGCCTAAAATATATTAGTCAAAAATTTAAAAATAATTTTTTTCTTAAATTTAATGAGGACAGTTAGTATTCAGCCTCAGGTATATTTGGACCACAATCCAAAAGACTATTTTCCAAGATCTATAATGTCAGTAGGAATATCTCTCTATTAAAAATTAGAGTTACATTTAATGATATTACTCTAGCATGTTCTCTTTCCACATGATGATTAAGAGGCTAATAGAAAAAATGGTGGCAGGTACCACAAGAGCAACAGAACGTTGCTGTTGTCTGGATATTATTCTTTTCTTTGGTGTTTTTTTTAAATGGAATGTGCTGAATGTCTATAATTTTGTTCAGATGACTGCAGAACCTGGAAAAGCTGTTGCTGCTATCAATGCATAACATACTATTATTAGTCTTTTTATATAAA